TATATAAATATTTATTTTATAGATATTTAAGGATATATATGTATGTGCATATTTATAAATGTGTTTGAATTGTATTTATTTATATGTCATTATGTATTTGTATATACCATTTGAAAATAAGTTTAAGTATGTCACTTTACCTCTGAATATCTCTATATGTATTTTAGGGTAAGGCCATTCTTCTGCACTGAATCCTTAAGTACAGAAGTCTATTGATTTTTGAGGTCCTTTACCTGGTCTAAGGAAGTTCTTTGTGGGTATGTGATTTGCAAATATTTTCTCCCAATTTGTTGAATTGTTTTTCTGGATTCTTGCTCTCAAAGTTTAAATTTTTGATGGGGGTGGGCGCTTGGGACAGTATCTTTTTGTAGCCCCAACTGGCCTGGAACTCACTATGTAGACCAGGCTGGCCTCAGTATCACAGATCCACCTGCCTCTGCCTGCAGAGTGCAAGGATTAAAGGTGTGCACCACCATGTCTGGCATGGTAGTTTCATGTTTTTGACCACACAACGTTTTATATAAGTTTTTGTTTTAACCTTTTAAATCTTCATGTATGCCTGTGTGTATCATGTGCTGAGTTTTTATAGTTTTTGTATTTTATATTTAAGACCATGATCCATTTTGAGTGGATCCCTTACAGGATGAGGGTTCAATTTCATTCCTTTGTATTTGGATATCCAGCTGTTCCAGCACCACTGCTTCAAAGAGTCCCTCTTTTTCAGTGAATGTCTTGTCAAAAGACATTTAGCTGTATGTGTGTACAAAGTTTATTTTCAGGCTTTGTGTTCCCTTGGTGTGTATGCCTGTCTTCAGGGCTTTGAAATCAGCTGGGTGTCGTGGCCCACGCCTTAATCCCAGCACTCAGGAGGCAGAGGCAGGCAGATCTCTGCGAGATGGAGGCCAGCCTGGTCAACATGGCCAGTTCCAGGTCAGCTAGGGCTACAGGGAGATCCTGTCTCAAAAAAAGACCAAAACAATAACAAAATAGTTTAGAAATCAACAAATGTGAGCTCTCAATTTTTTTAAAAAAATTTATTTTTATTTATTTATTTATTTATTTATTTATTTTTGTCTTTTTGAGACAGGGTCTCCCTGTAGCCCCAGCTATCCTGGAACTCGCTATGTAGACCAGGCTGGCCTCGAACTTACGAAGATCTGCCTGCCTCTGCTTCCCAAGTGCTGGGATTAAAGGCGTGAGTTACCACACCCGGCTCTTTATTTATTATTTTTATGTGTATGTGTATGTGTGTATTGCCTGCATGTAGGTAAGTACACCCATATCGTGCAGTGCCCGCGGAGGCCAGAAGAGGCTGTTGGATCCCCTGGGACTGGAGTTACAGACAGTTGTTAGCTGCCATGTGGGTGCTGGGATCTTCTGCAAGAACTGGATCTTCTGCAAGAACTACCAGTGTTCTTAACTGCCGAGCCATCTCTCCAGCCCCGAAATCTCCAATTTTTAAAAAGATTGTTTTGGTGATTCAGAATTCCTTGAGATTCCATATGAATTTTAAGACGAACTTTTCTATTCAAGGAATGTTTTGGGGATTTTGACAGGGATTACATTGTAGAGTGCTTTGGACACTACTGACCTCAGAACACTTTGAGGCCTTCCAGTCCTTGAACATCATGACTTCCCACTTATTTGTATCTTCTTAATTCTATTTGGCAACATTTTGTAGTTTGCTGTATACAGATCTTGCCTCCTTGGTTACAGGTCTTTTATACATGCAACTTTTTTCTTAATTTGCTTCTTTGGATTGTTCATTGTTAGTGTATAAAAATGGAACTGATTTTTCTGTCTTGATTTTGTATTTTGTAATTCCTGAATGCATCAGTTCTAACGAACTTTTTGTGGCTATTCTTCACAGTTTCCTGAGTATATGATCATGCCATTCATGAACAGTGATACAAGTGCTCCTTAATTTACAATTGGGTATTATCCTGGTAACCCTACCATGTTGAAGATACTACACTAGAGTATCAGTTGTTGGCACTGGGTCTTGTATCTAACTTGGGGCTGTGGCACACTGTTACATCTCAGATTCACAAAAGAATATTATACCATGTTATCTCTGGCCAGGGGAAGGATGAAAATTTGAAACAGGTTCTACTGAAAGTGTTACTGCTTTTGGAGCATCATGAAGGTGAAGCTGCGGATATGGAGCCATTTTACATCTGGCGCTGTCTGGTTTCTTTTATCTTCTTGCTTAATTATCCTGGTAAAGACAGAAATCCTTATCTTGTCTCTGATCTCCCAGGGAAAGCTTTCAGGCATTCACCATTGAGTTTGATGCATATGTGGCCTTTATGTCAAGTCAATTTTCTTCTATTCCTAGATTATGGATTAATGCTTTTATTTACTAAATTAAAATTTTTTTCATTGTATTGTTTATACCATGAAAAGATATTTTGGCCAGTGTATTTTCTTTTCTTTTTCGTATTTTGTTTGTTTTTCATTTTTTGAGACAGGGTGTCACTATATGGCCCTGGATGACCCAGAGAACTACCTACGTAGACCAGGCTGGCTTTGAACCAGGCTGGGATCAAAGACGTGCCACCACGCCTGGCCTTCTAGTGCTTTTTCTACATTATTGGGTGACTGTATTCTTCTTTTATTCTGTTTAATTGATTTATTGCATTGATATATTTATGCCTGTCTGATTTTATTTTATGAGTGTTTGTGAAAATTCATGGAGATGTATTTAAGGATTCAGTGAGTTGAATTTATTGTCTGAGTTTTTCATTTTAACTGATAATTATATCAGTTAAAAATGACCAGGTAATTATAGTGTAGACCACAGTGGTAGAAGAGGTGTGACAGCACAATTCTGTAGGTATTTCAATGTCAGAGCTTACATATTATGTGTGACTTCAGAGACAAAGAGCAGAATAGAGCAGAATGCCTATGTTTCTGATCCTCACTGCTAAATAGATATTTGCTGGGATGGGGAGACTCAGGAAGGGAAGGCTGGGTTACATCATCAGGTTAAGACTCAGGCTTCAGTTTTCGGTTGGTTTGGTATGCACTGTCCTGCCTATCTCCAAGGATGAGGGAGGAATAGACAGTTCAGGACGTAGACCTGGGTTCTAAGGAGCTGGCAAAGGTGAGGTCAGCACTGTGTGAGCCAAGCACACTGGGCTTGGGAGGGTGAGGTGGAGGGAGAGGAGCTAAGGAGAATGCTTGTATTTGGACAGATATCAAGGCAATCAGGAGACTCCCAGAGAAACCTCTCCCGATAGAGGATTTTAGAAACAAGGCTGGGTCCTTTTTCTTAAAATGGAGTTACACATGAGTGTACTTACATGTAGAAACCACTAACTTTGCTGGTCGCACAGTTACTGTCTTGTGTTCTTAGAAATTTGATTCTGGCCTTCAATGAAAGTACCAAATGTAAACCCCATTGTGGTTATAGCGGGAGCTTCTTGAGATGTAACGAGGTCCAGGACCATGCTTTTACTGGCCTTGGATCCTCCAGAAACTTCTGTTGTCCTGCTTTTCTTTTCTATATTGAGTGTGTATTCTTTCTTAGAAGTGTGAGAATCTATAATATATTTTTAAATTTATTTTTATTTTATGTGTATGTGTGTTTTGTTTTCGTGTAAGCACAGTATGTCCATACAGTGCCTGCAGAGGCCAGAAGAGAGCATTAGATCTTCTGGAACTGGAGTTACTGACAGTTGTTAGCTGCTATGTGGTTGCTGAGAACTGAGCCTGGGTCCTCTGCAAGAAAAGCCAGTGCTCTTTAACTGCTGAGCCATCTCTCTAGCCTTAAGAATCTATAATATTTTAATAAATATTACAAGTTGAAATAAGCCCAATACCCTGGCTGGTATATTGTCTGCTGTGTTACACTTTCTGTCTCCACTTTTATTTATTTATTTACTTATTTTTATTTTATGTGTATAAGTTTTGCCTGCATGTGTGTGAGTGCACCACATGCATGCAGACTTTTTGTCACTGGACAAAATACCTGAGAAAATAATTATAAGGGAGGAAGTATTCCTTTTGACTCATAATTTTGGAAGCTACAGTCCTTGACTGGCAGCCGATGGGCCTGAGTCTGCTGTACCTGAGATTGAGAAGATCATGGTGGAAGAGTGTGGTGGAGCATAGCTGTTCATCTTTGGTAGCCAAAAAGAGAGAGGAAACATGTCCCTAGTGGTCCAGTCCTCCAACCCCCCACCCCCAAAGTTTCCACCACCTCACAAAACAGCCCCAGGAGCTGGGGAGTAAACCATCAAAAAGCAATCAGTTGGATATGTTTCACTTTCAAACTTCAACAGCCTCATAGACCGATATACCCAGCTGTTTATGCATCCTTGGTCTAAGGGGAAGACAGATGCATAATGTCAGCATGAGCTTGGCATGTTGGCCAAGAGACATTGTAGTGATGTGAAAAGAGGTCATGGGTTTGTGGGCAGATGGGGGAGAATTGTGTTTACTGATGGGGTGAAAGTGAGAGTCTGGGGCTAAGGATACTGTTGTGTTGTGTGTGTGTGACTTAGAACTGGGACAAAGGGACCAGATCTTCCTGAGGAACCGTGAATCCCTGTGCCTGTTTGAGAGGGCATGGGAGACCTTCAGTGCACTTCAGGGCTCCCTCCAGTACAAGTCACAAGGTAGTGGAGCCAGGGATATAACCATGATCCTGAGGCCAGTGAGGTACTGTGCTTCTCACCTGTTAAAACTCTCCTAGAAACAACTGTGAGAAATAGGCTGTTGTTTGCCAGTGGTGGGGAGCATGGGAACATGATCATGTGGGAACAGGTGGGACCAGATCTGATACCTCAGTGTCCCAGATCTGCAGCGGGAGACCAGGGATTGTGCTTGGGAGCAGAAGTCTCTTTCTCAAAAGTACCCCTCCAGGAGTTCAGGCTTCTTTCGTAGATATTATTCATCATTTGTTAAGATTGGAAATCTCTAAAGGTATTTTTTTCTTTTTTCTCTTTGAGACAGGGTCTCTCTGTAGCCCCAGCTGGCCTGGAACTCACTATGTAGACCAGGCTACCCTTGAACTCACAGAGATCCGCCTGCCTCTGCCTCCCAAGTGCTGGGACTACAGGTGTGCGGCACCATGCCCTGCAATTTTTTTTTTCTTTTTTGAAACAGGGTTTCACTATATGCTCTTGGCTGGCCTGGAACTATCCATGTAGATTAGGCTGGCTTTGACCTCATGGAGATCTGCTTGCCTCAGTCTACTCCAAGTGTCGGGATTAAAGGGATATACTACCATGCGCAGCCTCTGAAGCTGTTTTTATTTGTATAAATGACTCAGTCTTTCCTCCATCTTCATACCTTCCTATCCTGCAGGTCCATATCCAAAAAAAAATGAATCTATGGAGCCTGTCCAGTTTCTTATTTTGCTGGTGTATGTGTGTCCATGCTCATTTTCCCCCCAATCATTCCAGATATGATATACATGGTGAAAAATATATGCAAAAGCAGGTTTCAGAATTTTCACAAAGTAAACACACCGTGTTGGGTCTCCCTTTTTTTTTTTTTTTTTGTCTTTTTGAGACAGGGTCTCCCAAGTGCTAGAATTAAAGGCATGCGCCACCACACCCAGCTTTTAAAAAAATACTATTTTTATTTTATGTGTATGTGTGTATTGCCTGTATGTAGGTAAGTGCACCAGTGTCGTGCAGTGCCCATGAAGGACAGAAGAGGCTGTTGGATCCCCTGGAACTGGAGTTATGGACAGTTAGCTGCCATGTGGGTGCTGGGATTTGAACCTGGATCTTCTGCAAGAACAGTCAGTGTTCTTAACCAGTGTTCCTAATCCTTTTGCTGTGGTTTCCCCCATCTGGGATTATAGGGGTGTGCCACCTCACCTGTCCAATTACTTATTGTTGATGTATATAAATCAACTGCATGTTTTTCACTCGTCCCCTAGTTGGTGAACATTTGGATATGTTCTGAATAGTGTTGCTGTGAATGTGCGTACACATTTCTCCTAGGTGTGTTCCTACAAGAAAGTTGTGTATAAGGTAGTCAGAGGGTCGGGTAGTAGATACTTGTCTGGCTAGTTTAAATGCACACCACCATTTTTAACTCCAGCTTTTTATTTTCTGGTTTTTTTTTCCCCTGTAAGGATTCAAATATCCCCTCGAAATGTCCAATGGGGTCACCAACTCAGGATGTTTTTCAGGAAGAAGTACTCAGTTTTGTGACCATGGGAAGATTCCTGTTTATCTACATTATGAGAAATGTGGGACTATGAGGAGCAGGTAGAAACATACCACCGATACCCAGAGCAGCATGTGAGTTGAATGTCATCCACCAAAGAAGACCCAGAGGTCAGATGAAACACTGTC